TGTAGATGTGCCCATTTTTAACCTGAGATGACATGAAGTGGTATATTAATGATGAAAAGGCCTATTAATTATGAAAGATAGGCTAATGTACAGTAAATCTACTACTTATGTTTAGAAGTAGTAGATTTACTGCGCATTAACTAGTGCATGTGTAGATGCTCCCCATCAGCCAGACCACAAGGGGGCCAGTCTCCTGCCAGGGGTAGAGCAATGTGGCTGTGAGTCCCTCCTGTCATGGGGCAGGGATGGCTCTTTAGCAATCTTTGGCTGGCCTTTACACCCCTGGGCTAGCTGAGGTCTGCCCCTGGCTACTGTGTGCTGGTATGGTGGGCATGTGCTGCCTGCAGCAGTGTTGCAGATCCCCACACCTCTGCTGGCTGCTCCTTGGCTCCAAGGTACCATGCCCCTGTGCTGTCGGCACATGCCAGCTCCAGCAATCCCACAGGACACTGACCTGAGCCTCAGGACCCATGCCTACAGCAGCCTTGCCTCTGGATGCTCTGCCCCTCTGTGTGGGTATGTTCCCAGAGTTGGTGGCACACACACTCTTTGGCAGGCTGAGTGGGTCCCCACTGGAGACCCCTGCCAGGCTGAGCCTGTCTTCCACCCCTCCACACGCTGCCGATGGATGCAGTTGCCCTGGTGCCAGAGACTTCAGCTCCTGGCTGCTGCAGGAGGTCAGAGAAGGCCAGGAGCAGGCCTAGATATGCTTAGTCCTATAAGGAGTAAATCTGCTCCCAACAGGGTGCATGTGTAGATGTCTTTCCATGGATTGTTTACTGTGCAGTAAATTATTGTGCAGCAAGGCTAAATAGCATTAATTGCATGTGTAGTCACACCCCCTGATTACTGGTTTTAGGAGTCTGACAAAAATGGCCAAGGTAAATGATGCATGGCAAGATAATACAATCATCCTAAATATATTGAAATGACAGGTGTGTCAGCTCATATATTTCAGGGCCAGCAGTGGTGTGTGCAGCACCACACTAAAGGTGGTTATACAGCATCTGGTCCAGCAGGTAGCGTGCAGGGAGCAGGCACAGAAGGACTTGCCACAGCACTGCCTTGTGCCATATCACATATGTCTTGTGCCATATCACTCTTTGAGTAAATATGGTATCTTTTATTAGAGCAACTAAATAGTTGGGGGAAATGCTCTTTGCAAGCTTTCGGGTAGAAACACCCTTCTTCAGGCAGAGGGAGAGATCTGCCTGAAGAAGGGTGTTTATATCTGGCCTCAGGCACCCTGCTCCTGATGCTCCCTGCTTATCCACAACTGGCACTGGCAGCCCTGGCTGGACTGCTAATGGGCTTGTGCAGAGCCCAAAATAAATTGAAACCTGAAAATAAGTTTTCTTTTGTTTCCCTATTGTCCTGAGGCAGCAGCTCTGCAGATTCCCCCTTCTTCCTCGGGGATTCACCCAGGGACAGCCCCTGCAGTTTTGGCCCTCCCCATCTGGCCGCCTGCTGCTCTTCTGCTCTTCCCCCTCATCTCCTCTCCAATGTCCCTGGTCCCCTGACATTCTGGCTGCTGACCGGGCTCCTGCCTGCTCAGGTGGGTTGAGTGCTGGGAAGGAAACTGCTAGCTCTCCATAAGCAAGGCACAGCCTTGGGAAAGGGATATGGAAGCCCTGGCAAGGGAGTGGGGCACCTGGGTAGCCCTACTTCCACCCCCGTCCTAGTAATGGGGTTGGGGACCCATTACAGTCGTATAAAAAATATCTGATTTACCCAAAGATCCTTGTCAGCCTATGTCCTTTGACCAACACAGCTACAACAAACAACCCTATGTCCTATGGTTATAACCAACACCCCTGCAGCCATATCACATACACATTTCCAGGCCAAACATGTTAAGACAAGAGAAAATACCACAAGTGGAAATCTCCTTGATGTGCCGGGACAGCTCTTTTCTCTCTGGCCAAGCTGAGTTGTGTTGTAGCTTTACAATCACACCTATTTGGAACAGTTCCTTTAAAAAAATCTAATTCATAAAGAGGGAAGGGAATCGCCTCAAGACCAGGTCCCAGTGGGACCAAACTTTCTTAGGAACTAATTGACCACCTTGGCATCAGAAGAAAAACATCCAGCTGGTGATACAAAACTTATCTAAGCACGTTGGATGAATTTATCCTCTGGAGGCATCCCACCCATAATGTACAAGATTCTCTTGTTCAGAAAAGCAACAGTGTGTTACACTATTTAAACTAATATCAATAAAGAATGGGTGCATACTCTATCTCTCCCTGTCCCTCTCTCTCTTCTGGGTGAAGAATAAATTAGGAAGCATTAATATCTCATATTTCTTGGAATCATTTTCCCACTGTTAGGTGAGTTTCTCCTTTTGTATTTCTATGTAATATGTGATATTCATTTTGAAATATTATAAAAGCAGTCATGGGGAGTTCAGTGTGCCCTCTCTACTTGTGAAAAAACTGATTTTTCATAAGGACCAAAAAAGAATGAGGTGCTTACTGCAGGTTTTTTTTATTTTTATTTTTTTTACTATCCATGAGATTACACATGTAGGGCATATATATCTTTGAAAAGAAAGGTCAACCTATTCTTTTTTAATAATTCCCCACATTCCTGAATTCAGAAACAAAACCAACATGCCCTGGACTTGCTCTCAGTTATTATTTTTATTCACTTTAGCTGAAAACCCTGCTCTTCCACTCAGATACTTTGTGTGCCCTATGGTTTTAATATAACTGTCAGTCAAAGACTGAACTTTTCCTCCTCTAATCAGCACTTTTGGAAGTCGAGGTGATCTCTTCTTTACGACACTGAAGCATTGTACTTTCTTCCTCATGTCACACACTGTATCGCCAGAGCTCCCTTGACAGGACTTCTACTGCTTCATCTCTATCCAGGCTATGTCAGTTTGGAGGATGTTAAAATGCCTCATCTCTACTCTGCCACTCAGTGAGTGTCACCACACTGGTTGTGATTATTCCAGTGTGCAAAGGAAACCTTCACTGTGGTCAAAAGTGGCAGGGGCAGACTTCAGTTTAGATATAAGGACTTTTAGGGTCCAGGAGGTTCATGTTGTAAGACTGGAGTGTTTTGCAGCTGTGACAGTCAGGAAACGTCTGAAAGATGAGCCTTTTTTGTGATATCTGTGATTGGTTGTGGAATCGTCATCCTTCACGGTTTTTAAGATCCAGCTAGACAAAGCCATTACAAAGATAAAATGCTTGGGGTGCTTCTGCTTTGAGCAGGGCGTTGGATGAGGAAAACTCCTGAGGTGCCATCCAACATTCGTTTTTTATCAGTCTTTGCTTTGACTGACTCTATAGGTGGGAGAATACAGCACCACTCCAGGCTTTTACAGTCAGTCCAATAACAGACATCACAAAAAAGCCCTGCCTCTAAGAGATTCGTTCAAATTCCTGAAAGCAGCCGAGACTGAGCATCCTGTTTGGTCCAAGAAAATCACTGAAGACTGGTAGGGTACAACATATACATCTTCCACAGTCTCCATCACTTTGTGGTGTTTCAGACTTGAAAATAAAGGGTAGCATGAACCTAGCATTCACACTCCCAAAAAAAGAAAAAGGAGAGGAAAGGCAAGGGGGGGAGGTGGGGATGGGACGGGATGGGATGGGAGGGGAAGAAGCTTCTGGCTCTGTCAAATCAATCAAAGAAAAGCATTTCAGAATCAAAAGTCTGCTGCTAAGAATGCCCTGTCCGTTCCCCTCAGCATTTGCCCTGCTGCAAGATGGGAATAGGAGTGGGAACCCAGGGCCTCTCTGTTTTGGAGCCGTGTCCATCTCACAAGTCTATCCTCTTTCAGGCTCCCTTCCATCCTGGCACCACATATTTTTCATTGTTGGCTGCCAAATGGACCAGCTTGAGGAGAGGGGTGCTCGGTTCAAATCCCAGCCATGTGCCAGGGACAAGAAATTGAGCTCTTCCCCCCACTAGACCAGTGTTGTAATGATCTTGCTATTGGGCTACTGGGGGGGAGAGCCCTCCCTCTCCAGTATCAAATAGGTTTATTGATCTCAGTTTTTCTCTGACTGCACTGTTGGCAACTGCTGTGCGAGGCTGCACCTACATGGGAAACCCAATCTTGCCTGCAGCATAGCATAGAATCTCCAATTTGCACGAATGCCAAAAATGCCACTTGTGCAGCTACTTTTGGACATGTAAACTATCCTTAGATATACTAAAATGAAACAGAATTTGATTTGGCTGCCAGTTGTCCTGAAGAGGCTGTAACAGGACTTGTTACATCCAAGGGCAAACTGAGTCCTTCAGCGGCAGCTCTATCAGGAAAAGTGCTTGAGCATAGGTGCAAATCATTAGAAGTTGTCTCAGTATAAGAAGGGTTTGTGAAGAACTGGTCTGAGTTTTTATTTTTTTTTAATGCTGTGTAACTATGATGAATACAAACCCTCCATTCATTTACAATGCCCATATCAAAGAAGTAATGGCTATTAATCTCTCAGCTGTGACCTAACATTTCCATTGAAATAGCTACTGTTTAGATAGTATGAAGCTGTATCTTGTGAAATACTTCAAGTATAGCAGGTAAGGATATTGTTATCATAATCAACATCATTATTATTTTGGCTTTAGTATTTTAGTGATGCACTGCTTTTAGCCCCCAAAACTAAACCAAAAACAAAACCTAAATACACTTTCTTTCTCCCCAACCTTCACTTTCTGTCCCTTTCTCCCCTCCCACTTCCATAGTTATCTCATTGAGAATATGTGCAATTTCCTTAAACTCTTTGTTCAGCCATCATCAGGCAGGAAGTAGGAGCTGGATTGTGTTTGAAGAAAAAAGACATGAATAAACCCAAAAAACTGAGAAACCTTTTCTCTTTTTCCAGTAGTGACAGTCTCCTCATCAAAAATCCATTTTTCCTATAAAGGTATATACAGATCTCCTTACTCATAAATAGAGAAGTACGCTTTCTTCGTGTTGATGGTTTTATTTATTTAGATATGCATTTCTTCTTCTAGATCAAAGGTTTGATGAGCATCTGGACATGGGGAACCAAACAACTGTAAGCTATTTTGTTCTGTCAGGTGTTTCCAGTGAACCGCAGCTTCAGCCTTTTCTTTTTGTGGTGTTTCTACTTATATACCTACTAACTGTGGTGGGGAATGGGGCAATCGTGGCAGTGATAAAAGCTGATCCTCACCTTCACACCCCTATGTATTTTTTCCTATTCCATTTATCCTTCCTTGACATCTGCTACTCTTCAGTCACAGTCCCAATGATGCTGCAGAACTTTGTGAGAGACAAGAAAACCATTTCTCTCCATGGCTGCCTTGCCCAGATGAGCTTAATTCTTCTGGTGGCCTGTACAGAAATTTTCATGCTATCAGCAATGGCTTACGATCGATATGCTGCCATCTGTGACCCACTGCATTATGGGGGGATCATGACTAAGCAAATCTGTATAAGACTAGTGGCTGCTGCATGGCTAATTAGTGTATTATATGCAATGATAAACACTGCTCCTGTGTTACATTTACACTTCTGTGGGCCAAAGGAAGTGAACAACTTCAGTTGTGAACTTCCATCTCTACTAGAAGTGTCCTGCACAGCAATCATCACCAGTAAGATGACATTTCTCACTTCAGCTATGATTGTAGGTTTGACCTCATTCTCCATCACCTTGGTCTCTTACATCTGCATCATCTCCACCATCCTGAGGATACGCTCTGCCAAGGGTCGGAGTAAAGCCTTCTCTACCTGCAGCTCCCACCTCACTGTGGTTGTTCTGTATTATGGGGCTGCTTTGTTTAGATATCTGAGACCAAGTTCTGCCTCTTCAGTGGTTCTTGACAGACTCTTCTCCATTCAGTACAGTATCTTAACTCCCATGTTAAATCCAATCATCTATAGCCTGAGAAACAGGGAGGTAAAGGCAGCTCTGGGGAATTTACTGGGGAAAATGCAAGGCATTTGAAAGTATTTCAACTAGGGGCGCACTGACAGAGAGTTTTGGGGCCGATACCGATGGCCAATTTTTAATGAGTGATATTGGCCAACACTGATCTGATTGCTGACATGCAGGCCATCAGCATGGAGAGCAGCATCCGACTGGTAAGTTTGTTGGAGAGGAAGGGGCAGTGGGTGGGGGGGGGTCCAGACCAAGGCCCCCACAGTGAGGAAGGGAGTAGGATTGGTGCTGGGGCAGGAGTAGGCACTGCCCAAGATAGGCAGGCATGGGACAGAGCTGCAGGTCACCTGGGGGGCTGGGGGTGGGTGGGAATCCTGCCACTGCATGTACCCTGGGAGAGTATGGGGGGGGGTGACCCCAGATCTGAAC